CAGCCGTTCCTTAACGATGCAAGATTTTCGGAGACAGCCTTGTCGGATAAGTTTTTATGCATGGGAGATCGTCCGATGAAGCTTGGAATGAACTGGTGCTCTATGCTAGGACCAGCATTGATACCATCTTCCAAATGGAACTTGGTTTTTATCGTTAACGGATTCGTTTCCGGGCTGTTGCAGTCTACTTCTAATGGGATCTGCTGAATCTTAAAACTTAATGGCTCAAATTTGTTTTCGCTCTTGTCCTTTAGAAAAACACATCCTGGGGTCAAAGAGTCCCCAACCGTGGAGGCAATAGCTGCTGCTGAGGCTGCTCTTTGTTCTTGCACTGCTTCTGCAAATAAAAAGAAATGAAAGTAACATTAGGAACAAGCTGTGAAGTCTCATAGCCAGTTTGCATGATGCATGCCAATAGATGAAAATGGCCTTTCATAGCCTAAAGACCATAATTGAATTGTAAGGTCAATTTTCCAGCATTATATTTGGATTTCCATTCATCACAGGGATCCGATCATTCTCGATCTATCTCGCCAAAGAAAACTCTTAATGAGGGAATTCAACCATGGCACATAAACCCAGATTACTCACTTGGAAACAAAGAGAATATGTCCTTGAGCTAAAGACCTTTACCTATCTTTACGATCAGCATGAAAATAACACAGTTAAGTTCAAATATTTCAATCATGGCATCAAAGACGCGCATCGCTCCGGTTGTTCAATGCATCGGACTCTGAAGACAAAATATGATATAAAATAAAACTAAAATGATGGAAGGTAAAATAAGTGTTAATGGAAAGGACAACCTTTAAGCCCTTCTTCTGTAATAATAATATCAATCTCAAGGAGGTTGAGCAGTCGCCCAAGATCAACCCCACTGGTCCAAATTTCGGGTGGTTGTCCAACTTTTAGCTTAAGTCGACCCCGGTTTGCAGTTCCACCCCATATAATTCCTATCGGCCTTGACTTTTCCCCATTTTCACCTTTCATAATGATGAGGCTTCCACTATCCCCTTCAAGGTCGAAACTCTGATGATTCTCACCGACAACAAGAAAATCGGTTAAGAAGCATATGCCTTTTTCATCGTTATATTCAAGGGAATAAGCTAATACTGTTCCAGAGGTTAAGCCAGAACTCCTTCCAACCTTCATAACTTGCTTGCCAATAAGGCTACCAATTGGATACTGTAAATCGATAACCTTGACATCACCAATCTCACCGACACCTTTAACGGATGTAGTAACAGTGGACATGTCGAAATCATCAGCGAACGGGATAAATGCACCATCTGCTCTGACAAATGTCTCTGCAAGTTAATGGAATTGTTAGGGACACAATTAAAATTCAGTTCAAGAAGTGAAAAAATGGCAAACAATAGGAAAACCTGCTGAGCAGATCAGATGAGAAACATGAAGGAGTATAAGGAAAGAATAGCAACAAAACGAGATACGGACGGCAGGAGTTCCTCATTTAACCAACGAGTCCAATGATTGAAAAAAAGAAATCCCGATGAGATCCCATTTCAATAGAGCCATAACTACATATCATGCTCCAAATAGCGCAAAGCATTGAAAAGATACATAAGTAATAAGATCTTGGGACAAATAGGTCATGTAAGTTCAAATAAAAGCAAGGTAAAAAAATCCCATTTGAAAACAAATGCAAAATTAATCAACATGAAGAAGGAAGCAAAGCACAAATCATATCCGTCTAAAAATCAATAAAAATGCATAACGGTGACCTGATTAAACCTTAAACGAAAAATGGCATGGAGATTGTAATGAACCTATGGTATTGACTAGGTTTCAAAAGGAAACTGTAAAATGACAGTTCAAAAGCTTCATAAAGATAACTTCAAAATAGTTAAGTAGTTCGTTCATGTGGCAGCATAAGCTTTCAAAACAAAACCAAAAAGTGAATCAGCAGAATCCAAGTTATCATAAAATTCTTACCCGGGTTTATTCCGGCAAAAATGTCATACCAAAGATCGTCCGTGATGAATGAAGTAGCTCTCTCCACTGCACCAAGATATACACCAGGGCCAAGTGTTGGAGGCAAAGGATGGAACATTTTTTGATTTGGGTAATCCAAGTCAACTGCAACATGGCGATTCGTAAGAAACCCGACCTGTCGGCTGCCAGTTTGACTTTTCACAATAGCACCCAAAGTCCCATATGTTTCCTGGTTTGCTACCTGACAATAATAACATATAGGACTAGTATGGAATCCAAGGCTTGCTTTGGAAGATCATTTCTCAAACATGCTTGTACACCAAAAAGATCTACCAACTACCATCGAATAAAAAAACATTGCAAGGCAACTTGAGAATACCTGAGAACCAGAGCCAATATGCGGATCACCCCCACGTAAATCCTCCACAATCTCCGTGTACAGCTGCTCTTTGGGTGCTGGCTCAGGCGCACCGAAATACGAGAACTCCACAACATCCACATCACACCATACTCCTCCTGGTCCCTGATTAAAGGATTTAATACTTATTTTACCAACATAATTACCCGAGCCCAACTAAAAGGGGTTGAAACAAGATAAAAACCAGTGTGTAGTAAAAATGAATAACCTCTAAGGCTGTAGGTAGACATTGGATGGGACTGAGCCATTGCTTGTCAACTTTCCTGGAGACGAAAACAAGGATAGCTGGTATGTCAGTCAGCACTCCCTTTTTAATACGAAAACCGATCGCCGTCCCAAGACTGTAGCATCTCAAAATCTTGCTATGAAACGCTCTTATGGTCATCAGCTCGAGTAATGTCATTGCTTGTTGCCCTTTCGGCAACCGACCAAGAGTCTCGGGCAGAACCCCTTTCTGTAGATTAGCGAAATAGTTCGCCCTCTCTTCAGCAGCATCATTTAACCTGCTGGAGGTCGGCCATGAAAAGTAAGGAGTATTGTTATCACTTTGCTGTCCAGCTGACGCGAATGGCTGAAGCGTCGGCGAACTGAAGGAAGGAAGATGAGGATGCCAGCAGCAGTTCCTCTCGGAATCCAAAGCCGATTCCTCCGATGGCGTCGAATTGGAGCACCCACCCCTCGTGTTAAGTCTGGTTCGCTCCATCGTTTAGACCAGCTAAAAAGATAGTCTTGGCGAAACACCTGGAGACCAATACAAATGACAATGACTCAATACACAATTTGACTTATTTTAATGATTTTCGTGAAAGAAAAAGAAAATACAGTTAAGAGCTTTCATCTTTATCAAAGTGTTTACACACTTATTGCTATTACGAGTAGACGATAAGTATACAATGGATTTAGAACCCATCATGTTTTCATTCCTTTTTCAAAACAAATTTACGCATGTAAACTCTAATCATATTCTAAAGCAACCAAACAATCCGTTCTACCACAAGCAATCAACAAACGCAATTTTTTTTTATTAAACACAAAAAGGAAAAACTTTAACAAAGAGAACTACCCAGAAACCAGAATAAACAGAAAAACAAAAACAAAAAAAGTGGAAGAAACTGAAGAAGCTTACAATTGATTTATGGGAGAGAAAAAAAAAGAACTTTTCTTTGGTTAAGTTAAGCGCTTTTCTCCCTGTTCTACAGTGAACTGAAAGCGGAAAGACTAAAGAGTTAAGAGAGGGAAAGGGAGATGGAAAAATTCCTTGGCACAAGAGGAAAAACAACACTTTTTTTTTGTCTCTCTCTCTTTCTTTTTGTTTGTTCATAAAATGGTGTTAATGGCGGTGGGCCTTTGCTTAGAGCTGAGATTGAGTTAGGTTTGGGCTTTTGTGTATTAAAGTTCTTTGTACTTTTTTCTGAATTTAATTCAAATCGTATATACGGTAAGCGTACAGTTTCAGTTCTAAACAAAGGAAAGAAATCTTTATCAATTGAACTAAAATGTTACATAATGACAATGCACATTTATTTGCGATTGGCATACAGCAGAAACTGAGTGATCTTCATGATAAAAGGATTGTTATTCTTTGAGAATTCAGATTTGAACATCATAAATATCATATGTGAACATTCATTATCGAGAGGTTAAGAGTAATATTTGATTAGATACTACCTTGTAAGTTTGAAGTGAGAGCGATAGTGTTGAGATGTAAATTAAACAGGAGAATGTTTTAAGATCTTGAAAGCATTATGTTCATTTAGGTATCTCTCAAGACTATCTATTATTTTTTATCTATCTATTTTTTCTCTAGTTATTCATTAGAACAATTATGATAAAGTCGACCCGAAATAAACGTTCGAATCTGTTATGACATATCCATAAGGCGCTCAACCGACCTTTTAATCTTATAAAACCTTGTCCCTGATCATACAATGACAAGTGTTCTACAATGAATTGCTCCTACTAGCTTTGTGAAATTTGTAATCCCGAGTTCTTTAAGACGCCGCCCACTGATCATGGCTTAAACAAAATAACTAGACAAATCCTTTTTATCAACTTGCTGCAATTATTAGGCAAGTCGTAGTTTTAATTGAAAGGTAAATTCCATCGATCACCGATCAACTTTATTATCTCTTCTATTTCACTCGTTATACTTTAAGTCTGTTCAATTTTTTCACTAATTTTAGTACATTTGATTTTTTTTAGTCTCTTCGTCGTTTTTTCACTAACGACGTTATGAATAGACTATTATATAACTATATAACGCCATCGTTTTGATGAAAATTTTATTTTTTAAAACAACATCATTTTAACACCATTAACTATTTACTGACGGAGTGATAAAAAAAACTAAATATATTAAATTGAATGAGTTTAAAATACAGTAAATGAAAAAAGAGAATAAATTTCAATGATGATTAATAGGATTTACCCTAATAAAAACATAAACCGATTTCTAGGCTACCTGGTAGGGGATGGGATTCGATTTGATCCTACAAAGATTGATGGTATTCTGGAATGGAAGACCGACGTCCAATTTTTCTTAGGTTTGACTGGTTTTTATAACCAATTTTCATTTTTTATCTTATATCAGAAAATCTGTAAATTATATATAATTCAATTGAACTGTGTGGGAGAAAAAGATAAGCAATTTGGGGACACTAATGAAATGTTCAGACAGACAATGTTAAGATGCAGTTTTACCACATATGAAGTGCATTATTTGGAAACACGTCGATAAGACTCCTTGACATCATTCACTCAACAACTACATCAAAATACATATGACGGAATGGGCAAAGGGAAATAAATTGCGTTAGAAAGGTATTCTACGGCTTCCGAGGAGGCGAACCGCTGCTGCTGCTCTTGCTGCTGCTGCTGCTCCTTCCTCTCAATGGCCTGCACGAGAAAAAATAATATGCCTTTCAACATTATAAAATCGGAAACCACATCAAGTGTCAATCTCAGTAATAGGCAGGCAGATAATTTTCGAGAATAAGTCAGAGAGAGATTGTGCTTGAGCAAGCATAGCCTAGTTTCCATGAACAAACAGCAACACTCATTGAACTAATAGTGCAATTGTTCAGTAAAAAAGTTTCTAAAAAGTAAAAAAAAAAAAAAATACCTCCTAGGACTACGACTCCTCGAAACCCTTCGTCCGACCTGTCATAATTGAAAATCAGTCACTTTACGTGATTACCTCAAAACAAAAGTAATAAAAAAAACAGACCTTCCGGGGACTGGGTGATCGGGAATAGGATGATGATCTCCCCCGTCTAGCTGCAGGTCCTCTGCCTCTGTTTTAAAGATAAAATATTGAAGTAAGATCCGAGGTGTGGAAACACAAGATTAGAAACAAAAGTATAAAATTGATAGAGGGATGGAAAGGCATGAAAGGCGCTAGTACAACTCAAATTCACTCACTCATTCAATGCAGTCAAATTTAATTTCAGCCCGTATAATTAAATTTAATAATCCATTCTAACCATACATTTTCTTGAAAACATTTGGCATAATGCAGGAAAAAGGTATAGTCATAATGAAGAAAACGACAGATTGTTTAAAGCAAATGCACTACCTTGGAGGTGAAATTGACCTCGAGCGAGAACGAAGAGGTCTACGAATTGGAGAACGGCTTCGTCTACGAATCGGAGAAGGGCTACGTCTACGATTGATGGGAGACCTTCTTGGGGGACTACGGGCTCGTCTAGGAGGTGAACTGTAATAAGATATGACGGTACATGAAATTATAATCAAACTAAATTGTCTGAGCTAATCCACACTTCATACCAACAAAAAATCAACACTGAAGTGTCAGTCATCACAGCCAATAACATGAACATGACATACCATAACATTCTTAATTGCTCTGATTCGGTTAGGATCTTATGGTTATGGATTTATTCATTTATTCACATGTAATGCAGATTCACATATACCTTAGGGAAACAAAATTAAAGCATTCAGAAAATAGCTAAAATGTATCGGTACCGGCGCCTTGGAGGTGGAGAACGTCTTCGGATTGGACTACCGCGCATCCTGCGAGGAGAGGTCCTGCAAAGATTTAAAATGGGTCAAATTCTTTCAAGACCAGTTCCATTAAACAAGCTATTATCTATGAAAACTACCAAACCTTGCTGGAGATCGAGGCCGCCTTGGAGGAGACAACGGAGAACGACCTCTGGCAGGAGAGGCAGGCCGGCGCCTAGGAGGTGTTTCACCACGACGACGAACTGGAGAATCTAGTCGCCGACGTGGAGACTCTGGTGGTCTTCTAGGAGATCCACCTCTTCGACCCACAGGAGATCTCCTTCGTGCTGACAGTGGGGCTTTCCGTTGAGGAGAAGCTGATTTACATCAGTTAACAAGTTGAATAACATGTAAGCAACCATGTATACAAATAAAAAACGAAATTGAACATTGAACTAAGTTAAACATACGTTCCGTGGTCGTTTGGCCCATCCCTCTCAGTATCAGCATTGACATTATCAGATTTGGGGGCATCTCTTTTAGGAGCAGGAGCAATTGGCTTTGGCGGTGGAGAAACTTTTGGTCTTGGAGGAAGTGTAAACTTTGCTCTTACTACATTGCCATCAATCTGGGCCTGCATCAAAGCAAAAAATAAAATCATTTCACAAAATACCAACTCCAGACACTACTAATAGTATCACTTTCGCATCATACAAAAAACCTACACCATCCATGTAAAGTAGAGCCTTTTCAGCATCTGCTCTTGTCTTGAATTCAACATAGCCATATCCTCTTGGAAGATTGAGCTGTTAACAATTAAAATGTGCCTCAATAATAATAATGATGATGATGATAATCAACAATACCAATATATAACTGGTATGAACTTACAACACGGTCCATTGCAAGGTCCACATTTGCAACTTCACCAAAATTACCTACAAAGAGGGAAGATGAAGACATTTATAATGAGCATTGAACTGGAGTAGCATCTAATGCTTAAAAAACATAAGAAAACAAATACTCATCCAACAAGTAGTAACTTTTCTCAGTGAAGCACTTTTACGACTTGAAGGTTAAAAGGTAAAGTGCGTACCAAATATTCTCTTAGATGACCTTCATTAACATTCCTGCTCAGTGAATCAACATAAAGAACCAGAGACTCACGGATAGGAGAGGTCTTCCTGAAATCAATGTCAAATGAATAAGTACAAGACCATAAACTTCAATCTTTTCAAGCAATGGGTTATTATAGCTCCTTAATCTGGAAAAATATTCATACTGGTAAATCTTCCTATATTATCAAGCAAAATGTATGTCTATATATAGTGTATTAAACAAGCAACCAAGTCGAAGTTTATCTAGAAAATTCGCACATGGATGAAGAGAACAGGAAGCGATGAAAAATTCCTGTGCTCGAAACTGTTTGGGGGGGACAGGACAAGTGTTTCATAAGAAACTAGCAACATAGATAACACTTATCCTGTCCTGTGAGATGAATGATTAAACTAAAAACTGCATCGTAAAAGATTATCGGTGTTCTCTATCACTACAAAACCACATACACTAGCTTCAAACAAATAATAATAAGTTTCCTTTGACAATTCTGTGATTTTCTAAATAATGGATTACCTTTAAAAGTTCATTCCCTACTCGTTAATAATACTGAAAGTATGCAATACACAGAGAACAACATAGGCCTTACAGAGATTTAAACTGACAATACTGGTTAATTTGTACCTAACATAGCTCATATCCAATACTTAAGGCCTCTGAACAAATTTAACTGACAATATGGTAAATTTAAACTTAGCATGGCTTTACCTTGGAACAGGAGATGCCTTTTTAGATTGTGGAGGAGGGGAACGACCTCTCTTAGAAGCATCAGCCTGACTGTGTATAGGAAAGAAAAGAAAACTCAGAAACACAAATTACATTTGAAAAGGATAATCTGAACCTAACATAGCTCATATCCAATACTTTAGGCCTCTGCACAAATTTAAACTGACAATGCTGGTAAATCTTTTCATTTAGTTCTGCTATTGACAAGATGAAATGCCATTATTAAAATTTTCAAAACTTCTAAGTTACTCATTTTTTAGAACAATTTCGAAAGCGTCCGTAACCTGACGAGCGAAAAATAAATTCACCTTCGGCGCTGATGAGGGCTGCGACTTCGAGAGCTGGCGCTACGAGAGGAAGATGATAGATCTAGAGCGGGACCGAGACCGAGAACTGGACTTGGAATCTGAGCCGGAGAAAGAGCGGGATCGTGACCGAGACCGGGAAGAAGAACCAGAGCCGGAGACAGAAGGCGATCGACGGCCTCTCGTCGGCTTCGCCATTGATGGAATACAAGAGAGGGACGAGAGAGGTAAAAAAAACCCTAGACAAACCCTAGGGGCGTGTTTGAACTTGTGATTGTATTCTGCTTCACAGACCGCAATTTATCTGAAAAATACATATATATATATATATATATATATTAAGAGAAACAATGTTTAATTCTCAATTTAGTCCTGAAATATACTCAATTTTCACTTAAACTACATACTTTAATAAATTTAGATCGAAACATACTTTTCTTTTTGCTTTAAGTTTTTAAATTATTTCTTTTAAATAATAATTCAAATCATTATACTAAATATTTATTTTAACAAAAAAATAGTTTAAATATTTAAAATGGTATATATAATAATTTTAGAATTTATTTTGACTAAAAAATTATATATAAATTTAAAATAAAAAAAACATTATTTAAAATTTAATTTTTAATTTGAATCTTTAAAATACGATTAAGTATAGTAATTTGATTGTAATAAACTTATAATCAGTAATTAAGTGATTAAGTAATAATTTTAAAATATGATGACATTATTATTTATAGGATAAACTATGCATTTAGTATTTATCAGTTATAGTTCGTTTTAGTACCTAAACTTTTACTTTTTTAAAAAAAATCATACATAATGTTTAGTTTTCATTTCATTTTAGTATCTCGACATTAAAATCTTAAAGCGTTTAGTACTTAAACTATCAGTTTTGGCTCGTTTTAGTACCTAAACTTTTAATTGTTTCAAAACTTAAAGTTACATTTTGAACGGGATATTAAAAGAAGAACTAAAATTTTTAACTGTGGAATACTAAAATGAAACAAAACTAAACTTTATGTATTGTTTTGAAAAAATTAAAAGTTTAGGTACTAAAACAGACTAAAATTGATAGTTTAATTACTAAACATGTAATTTACGTTTATTTATATGTAATAATAATAGAGTGACCTGTGGTGTAATTTAACCAAAATAGAATAGGTATTCCGTTTTTTGGCGCAAGTTAGAGAAGTTATCGAAGAGAGTAGAGTCCAAAGCCCTGCAGAGCCTGAATTTACGCTAGGGGGTTATCTTATATTAAAAGCTATATAATAAAGCCACTATCTTTGTTACCCGTCGACTCTTTTGAGATACTTTCGCTGCGTTGAGTGTTAAAAAACTGCGTACGATGTCAAGCATTATACAATTCGAGGATATCTTTGTGTGTGATAAGCTCGACCCAGATGGTAAAAAGTTTGATAAAGGTCAGATCTTCAATCTTTCTCTCTATGATTGTTTTCTTTCTCTAGTTTACGTGCTTTGGGTATTATGTTTTCACTGAGTTTCCTTCATTGTTCTGTAATAGTTTCAATTATGCATGAATATTAAGATGTCGCTTTAATTTTATAAATGATCGAGCTTTGTTATGTATTCCCATTTTTTTCTTATTATTCCATTTCAAATATAATATAACTATGCATTAATTGATTTGTAGAAGTGCATATTGGGTTTGATGTTTACAAAGTAGTTTTTATTATTTTCAATCCAGTTTTTTGCACATGAAGTATATGAAGAATGATCATTGCCTAAAGGAACAAATAATATCAATCAAATTCTAACTTTGCTTGAACTAATCGATTCATGTGCAGTTTCCCGCATCGAAGCACGGAGCCAGAACTGTGATATGTTCATGCAGCTGGATGTAAATACAGAGATATATCCTTTGCGTGTCGACGATAAATTCACGATGGCGTTAGCTCACACGTTGAATTTGGATGGAACGCTGGACACCGGCTATTACACTCCGGTGATCTTACTATTGCATTTCTGATGTTTTAGCACTTTTTGCAATTTCTTTTGATGCAGCAAAAGATATTCTTGATGGTAATGAAATCATTCATGTAGGCTCTAGTCTAATCTCCGGAGCTTGAGTTCGAACTTTGATCATTCTATTTGGTTCTGGTGGATGTTTTACCTGATTGTTTGCTTTGATTCTGGACCAGAAATTTGGATAAGTATGCCAGCCGATAAAGCTGTTCAGTAATACGAAAGTAGTATATAGTTTGCCCTTCTCATACAATATTGATGTTGAAGTAAACTAGAACAATGAGCATAAATTGAGTTTGCTCTCTCTGTTTCTCTGTTTGTCTGTCCTCAAATGCCTGTGTGTTGGGGTTTCGGAGGGGATGCTTGAGGAAAAATTGTGGATATGTTTCATAAGTTTCTGAGACGACCAGGTGCTACACCAAGTTGCTACATTAAAACTGATTACTGTTGAGAATGTCGTATTCTGTCTTTCTCATGTAGGAGTAAATAAACAGTTTTCTCTTGAAGTTTGGTCTCGATAACTAAGCCGTTCTTGTATGTTTCTCGTTCTAACAATCAGATGTTTTTGATAATTTATAGGTTCAAATGGTTAGCTATTAAGTATTGTTGGTCTCAAGCTAAAATAGTAGTTTGAAATTCCACTTTTTCGCCATGAGTACCGCATAGTTATATGCACGTATGTATATATGAAAAGGCACCTATAGATTAAACATGCCTGGTATTTCGATTTCTGTATGCCTAAAAGATTTCGACATGTGTTTCAGGGGAGGAAGTCTCTCGCAGATAAGTTGAGTATGTCATGCATGGGAAGCTATACAAGATAACAGACGATGCTTCGGGGGGAGGACTTAAAGCGTACGTCTATTAACCATAATCGGTCGTTAATCTAATCTTTTATCCGATCTTGGACTTAATATGCGTGTCGTTATTTCCAGGGAGTTATACGTATCATTCGGTGGACTTCTAATGCTTCTCATAGGAGAAGCTTCTCATGTCTCCCACTTTGAACTTGACCAGAGGATATTTCTTCTCATGAGGAAGCTCTGAAACTTTCGTTACGTTTAGCATCTCCATTTAAATCGGAGAAATTATCCGAGTCTTACTCGTCTGTAGTAGCATGAAGCGTCGAATTTCCGGCACATTATGCTCGAGTAGAATAACAATAGATTATATGCATTTTCATTTGAAATTCTTGTTGAATGAGTCCATTACCTGAGAATAATATTGTTGGAGAAAGTACTGTTATCTTATTATTTCTTTTGTTTAAACAGAAAATAATAATAATGAAGGGGTCCTTCACAAATATTGAATTATCACATTAGACCTCTAAATCATCATCATCACAAATTCACAGCCTTACATGAATATGATCATGTTTTTCCCCTCAGAAAACAAGATCAACATCGTTAATAAAAAGAATATATATTCAAAACAAATAGAGGTTAGTCAATTCCTCCAAGGAATCCAAGACGAGATTTGGATCAGAATTCTCAAGCAACCACAGAAGATGATCAAACAAAACCACCTCACATTTAACCAACAAATGATCTTCCCCTCCATGCTTCTCTATCAAAGCATTCAAAACGGATGTTTAAGGTACTTCGAATTGATCACGTACTGTTTCCTCGTACTCCCAACGTATATCGTTTGGCATTCTTGATGTTCATCGTCACCACCACTATCGTCATTCTCGTTGTTTCTTCTTCTTCTTCCTGTATGATCCCACACATGACAATGATTATCTTCCCAAGCCGACTTCGATCTCAGGCTGCTATACGAGGACGACCTCCCGAGTTGTCTTGACAAGCTCTTGCATTTTCGAATTAAGAGATTGATCTTCTTCATTGAATTTTTTAGATGGGGGGAAATTGATGAAGATATTTCTTTTGTTGTTGGAAGATGAAAGGAGACTTGACTTGCTCTATGAAGGTGCAATGAAAAGGTACCTAAAATGGTTGGATACATGGTTGGTGCAAAGTCTTTGTATTTCGGTGCTAAAAACAGAATAATTTGTGGGGATCGAACTTAGCAACCAAACATTTTAATTTTATAATTTGAAAGATATGATGGACAATTTTTTAATGAAGTTTGAGGGAATATATGGTGGGGCTTAAACAATGAATTTCAACCCAAAAGTTTAAATATTTCAACTGATTTATATCCGACTCTGATTTAAACATAATATAAGGTGGGTTAAAGTGGCGAAACTTTATGATAAAGTTTGGGGGTAAATTTAAAATTTTAAAAAAATTAGAGATTTAAATTAAAATTTCAAAAATTTTGAAGGGTTCAGTTTATATTTTCTTCAAAAAGGTTGAGTCTAATTAAAAAAAATTAAAATTTAAGAGACTTAATGAGAATTTTTCTAAATTATGAGAGGGGTTCAATTTAAAACATTCAAAAAATTTAAAGTTCAATCTAAATTTTAAAAAAATTTGTGGAGGTAAACTAAAATTTTTGAAAATTTTAATGGTTTAAATTATAAATTTTTAAATTTTGTGTGACCATAAACCCCCACTAATCCTAACTACGTTCCGCCTCTAGTTCAAACTTGTCGGATCTAGAGAAATTTTCATCCCTACTCTTAAACAACGTTCAGAGTTTAAATACTTATACTATAAATAGAATATATTAAATTGAAAGAATCATAGTAAACATCTTTTTTTAATTAACCATTTGTATATGATTTATTAATTGATTAATTTAGATTGGATTTTATAGAGGTTTATTATTAGGATAACCCTTCAAATCTAATTTATACCATAAATAAACATCAAACTTTATTTAAATAATCTAATGTCTTATCTCACTTAATCCAAAATACACCACAAAATACACCACACTGGATGGAAGGGACTTCGTCGTCTATGGTTTAAGTAACACTGAGAAAAGGAGAGCACGTGGATATCGTTCTCATTCGGCTAAGTTGTTCATCAATCTTTCTTTCGTGCCCATTATCTTTCTACTTGCCTTTTATCGCAAAAGGGGATAAATCCAGGGTTTTTATCATACATAAATCATACCGATGTGACTGAAAATGTTGACATATATTTGTACATATATGGGTGGAAATACTTATGTCTCTCATATTTGTTTATAAAATATGATTCCATTTAGGGTAAATTACATCGTTTTTAAATGAATTTTATTCATTCTCCTATT